AAAAAAAGAGCACTTTTTGGAAGGTACATTACAATTTTTAAATTTAATCTTAAATTAGCCCACTTATTTTAAAATCTAAATTACTAGCTACACTTTGAAGAAATCAATCATATCCTATCTAAAGTCAAACTTACTTAATTTAACAAGCGCACTTCTCTTTTCACCATGCTCAATATAACCAAAATTAACTTCCCAACTCTTTAAGCCTTCTTTTTTCTCACAACATTTATTTCCACAGCAAAACTGGCCTGCAAATAAAGGAAGGAATATTAGCTATGATGGTTGGTGACAATATTTATCTATATAACCTGGAACTATCTCTGAAATTTACTCTTAACATACGTACATCACATCCATAACATACATAGTTCTATAGTCAGCATTAAAAAACTGAACACGATAATTATAGTACATTCAACAATTAAATCAAATCGCTGAATGAACTGTTTTAAAAAAAAAATCGGTTGCAGATTTCTTACTCGATAGATGGATGGACTTCGTATTTAGATACAGTTTCAGTGACTCCCTATTAGAGAATCTTACACTTTAGAAAATGAGAGTACTTAAAAAGAGTACTTGCTAATACGCTAAAAGAATAAACGTATTTTCCAAAGTACATACGCTTATACCAAGGTGAATCCTTTTCAATATTTAATAATATTAAAATGGATTAGAACTGCTATTTTTAAGCATTAACATAATGGAATTTAAGTACCAGCATAAAATGGTGCTTAAAGTACATTTTAAAATGTTAGCATTTTGTCATTGTAAACTGACTACACTTCAATTTAAAAAAAAGTTTAAAAAATGCTACCATTAAGATTATGTAGAATAAGTAATCAAATCTGATGCTCTAAATTTTAGAACCATTTGACACTAAAATCAATGAAATATTACTATATCCATTGTGTATCAAAACCTTCTGCAAGAGTACTGATGATCCAAGAGGAAAAAAGAAAAAAGAAACTACTCTACAATTAGTAACTTTGACAGAAAGAGAAGATCAAATTTATTTGTACAAACTAAAAAAAAAATTATATCCCAATAATTTACACCAACAGGAACACACCTGAACTTTTCATAAAAAAGAGATTATCAAAACGAATTTTGAAAATTATCAGTCCAAAGGCTGGTAACTTTTCTAAATTGGCATTTTTTTTAAACTCATTCCAAATGAATACTTTACTTAATCTGTGCACGTTTAGTAATGGCTCTATTGTTAAAATAGCAATAAGATTATACTTCATAAATCACAGCAAATAGCTTTCTCTTCCCTTCCCAACTAATCCTTTCTTTCAATTATAGAAATTTAGAGAATGTCCATCAATTTTATTATAAGGCAGCATTATTTACCACCACTTGAAAATTCCATTCAATGAAAGTACAAAATTTTAAAATTATGAGACATTTCAACATTCCTCATTGTTTTAGGTAAAAACACAAACTAAAATGTTATACTTTGAAATGTTAAAAATAGCTTTAAATTTATTCTTTTTCCTTCTCCTCTAGTACCTTCAGGGCTGATCCTTTATTACCTTAAAAATATCCTACTGTTTATTATTTTTTTTTTTTACTGCATATCCAATTTCACAACTGACATAGACATCTAATTTACAGAAGATGTATATAAGCCACACTGATACCATAAATGTTTAATCATTTTAAATGTAACCTTTATTTTCAGTTTAAAAGATTTTTTAAGTTATCAGTTTAAAATTATTTCCTTAACACTCCCATGTAGTGTTTAGAAGTATTAACACTTAAAAATGCAATTACCGATAAACAACTAATTTTATGGCATGAGATAGTACAGAGATATTAAAGTTTCAAAAAAACTTCATGAAGAGATCACAATGCATAGAAAAAGCATTTACTGACTGTCTACCAAATGTTTGGTCTTTTGCTGCTAATCTAAATATTTGGGCTCAAACTCAGTGACTCCATAAAACAAGAACTAGCCTCTCTAAAAATTCTATTAGGTTCCAAGTAGTTTAATTTCTAAAACTGTGGATTTGACTGGAATGCAGCAATACCAACTCATTATTCCAAAAAATGATAGAAAGAAAAAGTCAATATTCATCTGTTGATAGTTTCCTTGCTGTAAAATCTTTAACTCTTTAAACATTTTCTACTTATCCTCAATAGAATATTCTCAAAGTAAAAATCACTAACACATTATATTTTGACCTTTGTTAACAACATATCATTAATATACCTTCTCTAATTTTACTCTGTATTTTATAGATAATTACTTATTGTATGTATCAGGAATAATATTACCCATTGACTTCAATTCAATAATATAACAAAATAATCTTATCCTATTAAAAAGTAAAATTAAAAAAAGAATTACCTTTTCCTGAAATCACTTCTTTTTCTACTCGCCACCTAAATCCAAACTGACGAGAAAAAAAAATTACATCTATGCTAGGGTAAATTTAAACATTACTTAAAATTGTATATAAATCTTAAAATGGAGTCAACAATAGACATGATGACACTCAGTAATCTAAAAAGTAGACCTAAATCCCATCATGATATCTTTTTCTGTCCTTATAGGAGTCCAGACACTTAAAAATACATTTGAACTATTACCAACTTCTTTGTTAAGGAACAACCTTCACAACATTTGAATGCCCTATTAAAAGTTATAGGTGCCAAATGCAAGATATATAAATTAATTTAAAAAATCCTATTCTATGACAATCACAGGAAAAAAAAAGCTATAGTACAGTAAAGAGACAGTATACTATAGTGCAACAGAGTGCAGTCTTTGGAGTTAGACTGGGTTTACGTCTTAGCACTACCACTTGACAGCTGTATAATATTGGACAAGTTATTTACTCCATTTCTGTCTCGGTTTACACATATGTAAAGTGGAGATAATATGAGTACCTATTTCTTTGGGTTAAGAGGTTTAAATGGGATAATAGATATAAAGTACTTAAAATACTACCTGGTGCATAGCAAACAATGGTCCAGGGGCCTGCTGATTATTTTTATAAATAAAGATTTATTGGACCACAACCACACCCACTCATTTGTATATGGCTCTTTTCCCACAGTAACAGCATTGTAATGAATAGGAAAAAACAACAGCATCAATCTGGAGCCTGCAAGTAGAAAGCTTTTAAATTTCCTTCTGAGATTCCTAAACATTACTTTGTAGCTAACCCTCGAACAACAAAGGGTCTAGGGGTGCTGACCTCCTTGCAGCTGAAAATCCAAGAGTAACTTTACACTTAGCCCTTCATATCCAGGGCTTGCAGATCACTTAGTAGGGTGGAATGCAACAGTGAAAGAAATCACGCATATATAAGTGACCCTGCTCAGTTCAAATCCACGCTTGTTCAAGGGTCAATTGTATTTGCTTTCTCACTAAAAATGATAAAATGTTAAAATGATAAAATGTTTTCCTCCACTGCCTTTTAAGATTCACATTCATATGCTAAATTACTATAACTTTAGTAAATGGTTTAGTTTTCTATTCAGTTTACCATAAGAGTTAAAAGCTCAGCTCTAGAATGATGCTGACCCAATGCAAGCTCTATCATACTAGTTCTGTGATCTTGGGAAAGTTACTTAACTTCTTAGTCCATTTCCTTTTTACGTATAAAAATCCTAATCTCATAGGTTGTTGTAGTTAACAGAATTCAGTTAAGTGTTCAATGCTTATTTTTATTTTATTTTAAAATCATCTATTACTTGAATTAGTCAATTTTGTATTTTAAAGCAAATGAGGGCTCAAAATATTTAAAAATAGTCTGATTAAAACCCAATGAAAATAAAATCCACCAGTCTAGGGAAAAAAAGAAATAAAAAATTCAAAATAAGTGTTTAATTCTATTTTTAAGCCCACTTATGTATGTGAGGATTGTCTGCCATCCAACATATGCTGGGCTGTCCACTGAAGTGCAGTCAAATGTGTACAGCAATAGTGTCCAAACTTTTTCTTTCATTCATTAATCTATTCAACAAATAATTATTAGGCAATAATTTACTGGGCTTGGCGCTCAGCTGAAGGTATAAAGCGATTATTAAAATAAATGCTTGTCACCAAGAAGGTTGCAATCTTATAATGGGATAAGAAATGTAACAACTACAATATGTCCTACTAAAGACTGCATAGAAGTTTTGTCTCAATAAGTTTTTCTATTCTTTCCTGACATATTTTCCTGTGGATTGGTTAAACACTGGAATTACTCAGGGTTTGGGGCTTAGCTTCCTTTTCTTCTTACTCTACCCTCTAGCACAAAGGTCACACACGCAAGCAGTAAGAGAAAAGTCTCCTGACTTTCTGACACAACAAAGTTCCATGGCCATCTACTTGAACTTTTATGTAAAAGGAAAACAAGCAAGCTCATTCAAGACACTGTTACTTGGGAGTGCTTGCTGGTCCCTGCAGCTGAATCCAACCCAAACTGATACAATGGTCCAACCAAATTTGCAGTGATGAAAAGGAAAAAGCAACAAAGAAGGAAATGGGGGTGTGGGACAAAAGCTGAAATTCACTAAAAATGCCCTAAGTATCTACTACCTATATTAGGCATTGAGCTAGGAGCTGGTTAACTAAAAATGAATAAAACACTCTTTGCGTATGTAGAACTATGAGAAAATGCATCCTAGAAAAAAAGTCGAAGGCATTATTTTTTCTCCAACATCTCAAACATGGCATGCTAAAAAAGTCATTATCTTTCCCAAAATGATCCCTCTCGTTCATATATGTGGGGCAGGGGCTTACTATGGGAAATCTCTGTACTTTCCCCTCAATTTTGCCGTGAATGTTAAACTCCTCTAGAAAAGTCTTTTTAAAAACTCCCCCTCTCACTGTATTTCCTATTTCTCTAGTATCTATTCTCAAAACAGGCAAGTCACATCTGATTCCTCATTTGCACTTTGTATCTAACTAACTTATCATGTTCTAATAGGAAAATATAATTTGTTTCAAGATTATGCACGTTAGAGTATGAGTTTCAATAATATACTGGGTTTTTATAAATGGGGAATACAAATATTTAATTATTTATGTCTACTTTCTTCCCTCAACTGTAGTTCTTTTCTGAAGGGCAGACACCATGTTTTAACCCAGCTCACCAAGCCCAGTCTTCAATAAATACTGGAAAACAATTAACCAATGAACCAGGGTTGAAAAAGCTGCTTTGTTTTATGCTTCTAGAAAGACTTAAGCTTCACACTCAACTTGCAGTATAATAACTTCAAGAACCTCCAACTGCTTTGGTGCTTTTTGGATTTGATACGGTCAATAACTATCCCAGAGATGAGAGCCAGTTCACGAGAAAATGAGGAACTCTCTGGGATACACCAAGTGCATGAATTTGTAAACAAGGTTATAAAAATGGACACTACTATTATCCATAGGAATATTGTGAAGCAACCCACATATAAAAGGGACTACTGAAAACATTATTCAAGCAATGAAGGTCTGAGATTTAACTATTTAAGTGAAAAAGAAATTCTTATGATAAACAAATCTAAGATAACTTTTTAAATAGTTGTCTTTCTTAATACAAATGTACATTATGCAAAACATACAGATTTATGCAACATTCCCTCCCCTCCCATTTCAAACTGAGATCATCTGTTCCTTGGTCATCTTCTCTAGCTACAAATATGAAATTTAACATAGGAATAAAAATCACTTTAATATTCATCAAAATAAGATGTAGAGCCAGAAGGGAAATTTGCCATTATTAATTGGCACTGATAAGAGCTAATTTTACTAGAACAGACATTTATATAACAGAAGATGTGCATCTGTTTCTCTATAAATGGTAATTAATTTGAAAAAAAAAAAAGCCTATCAATTTCAAGTGTCATTTGTGAAATAAGACATGAATGCTGCAGTGTCAAACCAGTCATTATAATCACTAGAGGCTCTGCGAGAGTCAGGATAAAACAAGATCCAGTAGCTACTTGTATTTAACTATAGACTGTTCATGCCTCAGCTCACAAAGAGGCACCCTTGACCAAGGGGCCCTTTGTAAGTTTCATAGCTATAGAGGTTAAATGGTCCAACGGAAACTTCACAGATGCAGGACAACTTAGACCTGAATTAGCATCTTTAAAAGAATAAGGTGGGGCACAAGAGTACATTAAAAAGTAATACTGTACATGAATAAGAAATTTCTTCTGTAAATATTCGGAAGGCATACCTTATTTTCTTTGTATCTGCTGAGATCTGCTATGCAATATTCCTTGAATAATTTATCATAGTATTTCTTTGCAAGTCTCTTCTCCCTCCATTAAAAAAAAAATACAAATCTTAAACATGGAAATTCAATCACTGCTTGCTACTTGGAAGCAATGTCAAATAAATAACGCATATGATATAAATGTTTTAAAAGAGGCCTATTACTTACATGTGTATAGAATATCTGAATATTCACTATCAATAGTGGGTCTCTCAGGGAGGGAAACTCAAAGTCTGATAGAGATGAGGAGACTCTACTCTTTACTTTTTACCTTCTGTAATGTTTGACTTTTTAAAACCATTTTCAGGTATTATACTTTCCCAAAATACTTTTAAAATTTAAAAAGAAACATATTACAAGACAATAAACAATTTTGTAAAAATGTTATAAATTATTTTTTAATGACAAAGTCAAGCAATGAGAAGTCAGTTCAAATTGCTAAAAATTACCAAAAGAATCAAACCAGATTCAATCATCTGAGGCATGGTTTTATGTTCTTGATTCACAACTGTCCTATGCAGGGGCTGAATGCTTTGGACAGCTGACAAGGTAAGCAAACACTCAGAGCAGGAGAGAGAGGAGTATAGCATTTGATGCATTATTCCTCACGTGGCTAAAATTACCAATTCATGTCCATTTCATCCTCCTCATTCCATAGAAATCTATGATTTTCTCGTATAACATCCATGTCTGTCTTGTCATTTTCCCTGGAAAAATTAAACAATTTTAATTTAATATGAACACAAAATTAGTCAAATTTAGGAGGTTAAACAGTTCTGAGATTTTTTCCACACCTGAGTAAAAATAAGATACACAAAGATAAAGACAGTTTTATCTGTGAGTAGATATGTATGTATATTTATAAAATGTATTTAAGTATATTTTCAAATGGCACTTACAAAGAATGCTGCTACAGAAGCAAGTTATCAACACTCATTTATGGTAAAAACTCTAACCAAAGTGGGTATAGATGGAATATATCTCCACATAATAAAAGCTATTTATGACAAACCTACAACATTTCAATGGTGAAAAGTTGAAAGCCTTCCCACTAAAATCTGGAACAAGACAAGGATGCCCACTCTCATCACTTCTATTCAATATAGTACTGGAAATCCTAGCCATAGCAAATAGACAAGAAAAAGAAATAAAAGGAATCCAAATTGGAAGAGAAAAGGTAAAACTGTCACTATATGTGGATGACATGATACTATATATAGAAAACCCTAAAGGCTCCACAGAAAAACTATGAGAGCTGATAAAAGAATTCAACAAGGTAGCAGGATACAAGATTAACACAGAGGAATCAGTTGGATTTCTTTACACTAACAATGAAATATCAGAAAAGGAAAGTAAAGAAACAATCCCTTTTAAAATCACATCCAAAAAAAATAAAATACTTGGGAATAAATCTGACCAAGGAAGTGAAAGGCTTATATGCAGAGAACTACAAAACATCAAGTAAGGAAATTAAAGATGACCTAAAGAAATGGAAACTTATCCCATATTATTGGATTGGAAGAGTTAATATTGTTAAAATGGCCATACTACCTAAAGCAATCTACAGATTTAATGTGATCCCTACCAAATTACCAAGGACATTTTTCACAAAACTAGAACAAATAATCCTAAAATTAATATGGAATCACAAAAGACCCAGAATTACCAAAGAAATACTGAAGAAAAAGAAAGAAGCTGGAAGAATAACCCTCCCAGTCTTCAGACAATACTACAGAGCTACAGTAATCAAAAAACCATGGTATTGGCATAAAAACAGACATACAGATCAATGGAACAGAACAGAGAGCCCAGAAATAAATCCACAGACCCATGGTCAACTAATCTTCAACCAAGGAGGCAAGAATATACAATGGAGAAAAGACAGTCTCTTCAGCAAGTGGTGTTGGGAAAACTGGATATCCGCCTGTAAATCAATGAATTTACAACACTCCCTCATTCCATACACAAAAATAAACTCAAAATGTCTTAAAGACCTAAATATAAGACAAGACATGATTAATCTCCTAAAAGAAAACATAGGCAAAACATTCTGTGACATAAATCTTAGCAATGTCCTAGGGCAGTCTAACCAGGCAATGGAAATAAAAGCAAAAATAAACAAATGGGACCTAATTAAACTTATAAGCTTTTGCACAGCAAAAGAAACCACAGCAAAACAAAATGACAACTTACGGAATGAGAAAATACTTGCAAATAATGCCACTAACAAGGTCTTAATCTCCAAAATATATAAACAGCTCACACAACTTAATAACAAACAAACAAACAGACAAACAAAAAAACCCAATCCAAAAATGGGCAGAGGACCTAAACAAACAATTCTCCAATGAAGACATACAAACGGCCAATAGGTACATGAAAAATTGCTCAATATCACGAATTATCAGAGCAATGAAAATCAGAACTACAATGAGGTATCACCCTACACCAGTCAGAATGGCCATCATTCAAAAGTTCATGAATGATAAATGCTGGAGAGGGTGTGGAGAAAAGGGAACCCTTCTACACTGCTGGTAGGAATGCAGCTTGGTGCAGCCATTATGGAAAACAATGCAGAGATTTTTCAAAACACTGAAAATAGACTTACCACATGATCCAGCAATCTCACTCCTGGGCATATATCCAGAAAGAACTCTTATTTCAAAAAGATGCATGCACCCTAGTGTTCATAGCAGCATTATTTACAATAGCCAAGACATAGAAACAACCTAAATGTCCATTGACAGATGACTGGATAAAGAAGTTGTGGTATATCTATACAATGGAATACTACTCAGCCAATAAAAAGAGTAAAATAATGCCATTT